TCCCTCCCAACCCTTAGATTGGGGTCACCGACTGGCAACAGACTACAGTCCGAATCTCAAACATGTGATGCCTCCCCCTAAAAAAAAATTCTCTTGGGAACCACCCCCCTAGCCAGCAAATTGAATCGTCTGGACCCCCCCTCCAGCTGATGCAGTGGACCTTGGCTTTGTGTTGCTTAGGAATTTGGTCCTCGGGAAAAAATAGTTGGGGTAGGCCTGCTATAGACCTTCTATAAGCAGTAACACCATATTAATCACAGCTGCTGAACGTTAGTTAATTTAATAGCAAGATAAATATACTGAGGTACATCTCTTTTCTCTTTCATTAGTGATTAGGATGCACCACCCATTCATCATATGGAAATTATTAAGCATTTGGGCTCATATATGGTTTGGCGTTTAACCTCCTGTTGGGCCATTATGAAGAGTGTCCTGGCTTGCAATTCTTCCTCTTGGCCCGATGGAGCAGGTGAGGAGCCCAGTTCCCCGGGAGCCTCCTACCTGACTCACCGCTGCGTTTTTTCACCATCCCTGTTTGCTAGATCAGACACCAAGCAGCCCCAGTGGTTGAAAGTGGCCTAGAGAGAGGAATGAAGCTGAGCCATGTCGCCTTCAGTGCACAATGACCGGCCAGCGGAAGGGAATCGGCTCACGCCGTCGCATTGTTGTGTCGGAGCTTTTGATATCTCAGTGCCGATAAGAGGCTTAGCATTGGCAGCCTTGCTGTCATGGCAGGGTCGCCAAGGGTAGCGTCGGCGGATCATATTTCAGAGAGGCATTGTGTGGCCGGGGTGGAAGGACCAGGCGGGGTGGGCATGGTTTATTGAGTGGAAAAAGTGAGGGAAAGGAAGAAAATGAAATAAGGGAGAGGAAAAAGCAGGAGGAGTGTAGATGGGAAGTGGGGGAGGGGGGTCATCCTCTCTCTGTGAATCTATGGGAGAGACAGAAAATGGTACTTTTTAAAAGAACCATGCTTCATTGCATAATGGTCTCCATGTGGTACTACCAACTCGAATGTTCTGGAGTTTTCGATATTCGGGCCCCATTGTTGTTGATGGCCGTTTGCCTTCGCTGGGTGTGGCACCGTCATTCCTCCTGTTCTATCCCCAGGCAGCGTCTCTCCTGGGGGGCCTTCACCACTCCCACGGCGGCTGATCCTTTCCTATCACCTCAAGTCCCAAACACTGCATGCGAGGAGTCATTTCCATGAAATAGTTACATGGGTGTTCTCAACGGCATTCCATCCACACGACATTTTTGCTTTCTGTCACTCCAGAGACATCGTTATCCAGAGACTGTCCGTCTAGTTGGGGGACAAATGGGTGTCTGCAAGCTGTGGGTATTCAAGCTGTGTGCCAAGACTCAATGTGGGTTATAAGGACTGAAGAAAACAAACACTCCAACTGATCCATTTTGCTGCCAGTGAGGGACAGGGTGCACTAATAAATTTGCAAAATTTGCAAAAAAAATAAAAAATAAAATAAAAATAAATTTGCAATACCACAATGATTATGCTGTATAAGGCAGTGTTTACTAACCCAGTCCTTGGGGACCAGCAGACAGTCTACGTTTTTGCTCCCTACCAGGAGCTGGGATGGAGCAAAAATGAGGACCAGGGGAACACTGCTACAGTATAAGGTATACAGGTAGGTGTGCTGTAAAGGGGGGGGGGGGGGAGTTAGGATGATTCCAAGGGTCCTCAAAAGTGACAGGAGCCCTAAAAATATGCAACATAATTGGAATGGTCTGGGTTGGAGGCCCAAAATGATTTGCTTTCATGGGGCCCAAAATCTCCACCGGCGCTCCTACGTAAAGGCACCGTGAGAACCTGAACCGCCAGCAATGCAATCAGCCTCCAATTATCCAGAACATCTTATGCAACAGGCCAGGTTCAGTCTGTGGATGCTAAATAGCATGACCTGGAGCTGGCTGCCTCGCCAACAGAGACATTTTACTCCAATTAAGTATTTCCTCTCCCTCTACTGGAACAGAATCAAGTGCTGCCCGCAATGTCAAGGGTCCGTGGGTGGGCCTCTCTCTCAGACGGTTCTTTCAGGAGCAAAGGCATCAAAACCACCTGCTGTGGTCAGCTATAAAGAATTGGGCATGAGGAAAGTCGAGGGAGAAGGAGCCACAGAGAGTCGACAGCGAGAAACATGTGAATCACTCCTCGATTTCATTCGTCTCGCTGACAAACTCAAACAGACATGGCGGAGCTCTCCTATGTCCAGTGGCGTTTGCATAATGGATTCCAGCAAAAGCTGGCCATCATGCAGTAAGACTGTGACATGACGATTCTCCCTCCCGTCTTCTTGATGACTCACTCTCGCTGTTATCTTTTCAGCCTCGACTCGCTTTCCATTTTGCTCTCCTCTCGGCTACCTCCTTCTCTGCTTTCCCTCGGTCTGCTTTGTTTTTCTCCCTTTTTGTCAGCCCCCTGCTTTATTTCACTTTCATTTTTCCGTGACTATTCTCTTTCTTCCTCTCCATCGCTCATATCAACCCCACACTCTTCCCCCATATCAGAGGAGGCAAATTGACAACCACTCAGTCAGACGCACAAATTCATTTGATGTAGTTCATTTCTGACACAGCTGACTGGCATGATGGATGACGGACAATGTCTCTTTGGTAGTCATGTCCCTTTTCTGACTATGATTCAGTTTACATTGACTAGGACTTCAATAAAATATAACTCAAAATAAAGCTGCGAACAAGAAAGCAGCTCTTTAGACAGTGTGGTGGTTACGACAACAGGGCACTGAAGGATGTTTTTCGGTTCTGGTTCCAGAAAGAGTCATAGTTCTCAGTTCAACACACTTAACCAGAATTGGTCCAGCTAAATGAATAAATAGGTGGAGTGTTGGGGTTGCCTCACTCCTCTAGAACCAGGCTTCAAGTCTCTGCCATGGCTCTGTGTGTGGAATATGCATGTTCTCCTCATGTCACTGTGGGGTTTCCTCCTGGTTCAAAAACATTTTGAGTTTAATTGGGGTTTGCAAATTCTCTGTAGGTAAATGTGTCCGGTAATGGATCAGCACCTCATCGGCACCCATCCCATCCTGGGTTGTTCCCTGCCTTGTGCCTGTAGTCTCCAGGGTCTGGACCCCACACAACCCTGAATAAGATAAGCAGTTCCAGAAAATGGATGGGTTAGAATGTTTTTTTATAGAAGTATAGGAAGTCATCAAAATGAAGTGTTGTTTATATATGTGTAGGTTGCAAACAGAATGGCATATTAGCTTGATGGATTAAGGATCTGTGCCCAGAATAATATAGGTTCCTATGGATGGTAATCATTAGTGTTGGTATCTAAGGCCCTTAACGCCATCTGCTCCAGGGGTACTGGACACTCGTTGACCCAACACTCGGACCCCAAAAAGTTGCTCTCGCTTGTAAATATATATGTCTGTGTCTCTCATAAAAAGCAACATAGAGGATATAAAAACTACACAATTCCCTTAATGAGCTGAATAAAGTACCACTATTGTATTCTAAATGAAAACCTAAAGACTGCAGATTAGTTCAGTTTCTTTATCTAAGTAGGATAACAGATCCTTACCTAATTCCTTTCAGCCCACTATTCAGAATTTTCACTCCATTAACTAAGATAATGAAGTATGGCTGTCTGAAAACAATTAGTATAACAGACATTGAGTGGGCAAATTCACTTCTCTGTGAGAAGAAAGATGTAGAGAGGAGCAGGATTGCGTAGCAGAGCAGAGGAAGTGAGGGATGAGGCTACAGTATCTGAAGGCCTCAACTGCCATAGTGGGATCTATGTCCAGCTTCTCTTGATCTGTACAGAGGGTCATTTACAGGCATGATTTAGGCTCACAGAAACCAGAAAAAACATTCCAGAATGGAACGTCTACCAAGTGCAGAAGTTCCATTAAAAGAATTATAATGATAACCTGTGTGCAATGGAATGGTGAGAGAGGCACAACCTTGTCTAGCCCCAGGATACAAGTCTGTCCTTCACTCTCAGTCATTTCTCAACGTCTGCTCCTCTTTTCACTCTGACCTTGGGTTCATAGGCTCATTCCATTCTTTGCATTGCCTTCTTCTGCTCCCTGCCCTTGTTTATTGTGTAATTTCATCCCGAGTCCTAATTTCCCATGAGCACCAACAAGTTTTTTTTTTTCCTGTCATTTATAAGCGGAGCAGGTGCCTCACTCGATAAACAGAACAAGAGTGCAGAGAGAGCAAGAAAGGAGGCAATTGCTCGGATGGCTTTATTTTGCTCTGTCTGCAATACATTATCTCCCAAAAAAAGGACAACTGCTCAACACACAAAGTAGAACAGAAAAACTGGCAGAGGGACAAACCTGTTTATCATCTCCAATTGCCTGAAGTGTCTGTGTTTTTTTTTTTTTTTTTTTTTTTAATCTTGCATCAGGTTCAGAAAGGGAAATTGAATGTTCATACACTGGGGTAACACGGCTCCCAAGGTTAGGGACACGCTTAATGGTTAATAGCAAGTTAAACGTGCAGCATCAGTCACAGGCTGTTAAACACAGTGGAGCATTGTGTCGGCAGGAACGCCTAATTCGTTTGGGTTTTATCTGCTTGGCACGTGCGTGTATAGCCCTTTGGGAGAGATTCAGTAAAGCGGCGCATGGCTTTCACTGTCACACAGGGTCAGGACTTCCTGGCGGAGAGGTGGCAGGTGGTAGGTAGGGCAGAGCCCATCATTTAAACTTGTTGTCAAGGGGCTCAGAAGTCAGCCATCCTCAGTCATGACTTATAAAGGAGTAAATGGTGATTCTCTCTGCGGTGGAAAATGCTTCCTCCTTCAGAATCTCAAAAGCAATACCATGACCCCGGGGTCAAAAGTGGTTTTCTAGGTGACTCAGCTTTGAAGTAAAAAAAAACTGAACATCTCTGTCACTTTCTCCTGCTTGTCCTTCTGCTCCCTGCTTCTTTACCTCTTTTCTCTTTGACGCACCTTTTTTCTTCACCCCTAACTGCATCTCCGCTCCCTCCATTCTTGCTCTCAGGCTGCAGGCTGGAATTCCTCTTGGTGCTGTGGGGTTTGGAGCTGTCCTGGTCATGTCCACACCACTGCGTCTGCTACACGACGCCCAGCACCGTCAGCTGCCAGGCGCACAACTTCCTGTCGGTCCCCGAGGGCATCCCGGCAGAGAGCGAGCGCATCTTCCTGCAGAACAACCGCATTGGCCAGCTGCTGCGCGGCCACTTCAGCCCGGCCGCCATCATGCTGTGGCTCTACTCCAATGACATCTCCTACATCGAACCCACCACCTTCCATGGCTTCTTCCGACTCGAAGAGCTGGATCTGGGGGACAACCGGCACCTGCGAGCCCTGGCACCCGACACCTTCCATGGATTGGGTCGACTTAATTCCCTGCACCTGTATCGCTGTGGCCTAAGCGCCCTACCCAGTGGCATCTTCCAGGGTCTGCACAACCTGCAATTTCTCTACCTGCAGGTAGGGGCACTGCAGTCTATGTTAACCTTTAGCCTGCATTATCCTTGTAAAATCACAGTTCATGTGTTTGTACAGCTACAAACGAATAACATGTTGCTGCTCACTTTGGCTCCAGGACTTTTTTTCTTGTAGGCAGCTGTAGATATTGTGCTCCACTCTTGCTTGTGGGAGTTTTAATTACACAAAAATGTTCTGAGGGCAGAACCAAAAATGATTGGTTCGGAGTGACAACCAATCAGATTGTAGAGGAGGTGGGTCCAAGCAACCAGAGAAGGCGGGACCAAGACGTCTGATTCATAGGTCCTGCCTCCTGTAAAACTCCCATGAGCTCCACTCTTCCTTTAAAGTACTATTTAAAAAACTGAACTACAGAGAAATAAAATCAAGATTTTGCGCTTTAGCTAGGTCTGGGCTGGCCATCCGGCATACTGGGGATTTTCCCAGTAGGCTGATGGATTTGTGAGCTGGCACAATTAATTGTGGGGGGATTCCAAAGTGCAGGGCCGATTTTTAATCCCAGCCTAGCCCTGTCTTTTGCCCTAATTCTGTAATCATACATATTCCATTGCACTGAAGTCAGGACTTTGTATTGGCAATGGCAACATTCTGATGTTATTCACCACAAATCAAAACATATGCAAAAATTTTTCAATCATGTCCATTTCCCATCTAAATCAGAATGGTGCCGCGTGCCCATGGATAGTATAATGCAGATGGCCGCTCCCTATGGCAGAGAGAGCTTTTATTACACTGTGAAAATGCTGACCTAGTCAACAGCCGAACCTCATAGCTGGACTTTCCAACACATTAAGTGGGCAATAACATATTCCAATCATTTCTACCCAAATGTGCACAGGAAACTCAAACAGCTCACTTCTCAGCCAGCGTCTTCGTCCGGCGAGACCCAAATACCCAACATGGTCGTGTCTTATCTATTTATATAGTCAGCTATTTGACATCAGGAAACACTTTTCTTGGGAGTACAACAGCCATTTCACTCCAAAGCCTTTAGGAAAATATTTTTCTAAAAATCCATTAGGCATGATATAACAACCAGTTCCTATTGCTCCTGCCCCTAGGACAACCACCTCGACTTCCTGGAGGATGACCTGTTTGTGGACCTGCTGAACCTAAGCCACCTGTTCCTGCATGGAAACCGGCTGTGGAGCCTTCACCAGAACACATTCCGTGGGCTGGGCGCTTTGGATCGCCTGCTGCTGCACCACAACCGGCTGCAGTGGGTGGACCGGCTGGCCTTCCACGACCTGCGACGCCTCACCACACTCTACCTGTTCAACAACTCGCTGACACAGCTGCCCGCCGAGTGCCTGGCCCAGCTGCCCGCCCTCGAGTACCTGAGACTCAACGACAACCCCTGGGATTGTGGTTGCCGGGCACTGCCGCTCTGGGATTGGCTGCGCCGCTTCCGGGGTTCCACCTCTGAGGTGGGCTGTCATGAGCCACCAGGGTTGGCCGGCCGGGACCTCAAGAGACTGCGGCAGGAGGAACTGCCCAGCTGTGTGGCGTCCGAGTCTCGACACCAAAGCAGCGGGCACTTCCCGCACCTCCCTCCCCGGGACCAGCACCATCTCATCCCGCCTCCTTCACCGCTGCCCCGCCCACTACCCTCGGCCCGTCCCGGCCGTCCCAGGAACTGCACCCGGCAGCGAGGGCGGTGGGGCAAGGGCAAGGGCCTGAATGAGGCCCACATCTCCAGGGAGATGGACAAGGAGTACTCCTACCCCAACAAGCACGACCTCGACAATCCCGATGGCTCTGGGTCGCGACGGAAGCACAAGTGCGCCCCGCGGACCACGGTTGGACCTCCAAGCGGGGTCCAGCGGGCCACCAGCGGGGGAGCGGCAGCCTCCCGCTGCTCCTTACTGCTCCTCCTGGTTATGGTGGGCCTCCTGGAACCGCTGAGCGTGAATGTATTGCGCTGAGGCAGCAGGGGGCGCCGATAAGGGAAACACAGTGAAGCGGTGGCTTTGAGACTCCCGCACTGAAGGCGTGTGTCAGGACGAGTGCCAGACTCATGGAACTCAACATGAGCAGAGGGGGAGGATGCTGAAGGGAGCCAGAGACGAAGAACACAGGGGAAACATTCTGGTACTCTCATAGAGTCACTGCTGGTTTTACCCCATGTCTATCATCCTCTGTCTCCCTTTCTTTGGGTCTTCATTCCATTTCCATGTTTTATTTAGAGCAACAGCCACCCAGGCTGTGCAACAAAATAGGGAAACCGATTGGCTGAAATTACTCTTTGGTGTTTTTTTTTTGTTAGCTTATCGATTATTTTGTCACATAAAAGAGGGACGATAGGCAAACGAAATACAGACCGTGGCTGTGTGAGTCGAGTTTTACGTTAAGTGCATTATTTCTTGTTTCCAGTTAACAAGGCTTCGAAACTGGGAAAGTGCAGCCAGGAATAAAATATAGTAGATCCTTACCTAATAAGGCAATCCCAACAATATTAAACTCTGGTACCATGCGAATAAAATACTCCAACTCACTAATTCTAGCTGGTCTTAATCTGGCCATCAGACTTACTCTGATTTCCAGCTCAGCCATTGTTTGGTCAGGAACTTATTCCCTGGAATAAGGATACGTGGTCTACAACCATAGCTTAAAACAAAATGTCTTTCTTTGTCTTATTTAGTTTTTCTTCTGTGTTTCTGTTTCAATCTTCGTTATGTCACTACAAATAAGAAGCCAGTTATAATCAAGCTGCTATACTCTATACTGAAGCCAGGGAGAGACACTCCAGCCGCTGTCTGCTTCAGGTGTAACTCTTTCTCCAGGAGAATAAGGTGTTAAGTCGTCTCTTTTGTATGTATGTATCTTGTCCTGTTGGTTTGAGTGTTTGTTCACATCTCTGCTGAACATGACTCACTAGAGTTGAACAATAATTGCCCATCTATATGTTTTGGGAAGGGGGGGGGGTGGTTGATGAGTCAAATCAAGCATTCCTACTGACCTCCAACCTTCTGTCGGAGCATCCTGGACCCCTCCCCCTCATGCAGAGTAGATATTCCAGTTTCCAGAGGTTGGAGATGAATGAAAAAATGACACACGTCCATCCTTCCTTGCTCCAAGTGGATGGAATACTATAGTTTATTCATTAAAATGTGTTCGTTTTATGAAGGGAGAACTGACTGCCCCAGCATGGAGAGAAAATGACTGGGACTTCAGCGCTGGCTTGCCGGCTGCCCTGTCAGTGACCCAGGAGTAAGACTATTAATTAATTTCAAGTGGACACTTCTCACCCAATGGGTGAAGTCAATACAGACCGATGAGGCCACCAACACCACAGCCCTCCATCGATGGACTGTTAAGACTGAGCTGGTCCCGGACCCACGGACTTTGAGAACTTTGCTTCAGGATCCTTACGTGGAAAATGCTCACAACCATTTGTCACCACCGCGGTAATAATGACGTCATAGATGATAACAGGGTCTCCTCTTCCCCCACAATAGGGGGGCATGTGGTTGTTTTTTTCTTTATTTTTCTTTGTAAGCGCATCCTAGTGCCATTTCGGATCAGTGGTGCACCCCTTCCCCCCCCCCCCCCCCCCCCCCCCCCCCCCCCCCCCCCCCCCCCCCCCCCCCCCCCCCCCCCCCCC